TATTACGCAGTGCCTGAAAATAGTCCCCAGCACGCTCCCTGTGCAAGCAGGTGGTCACGTTGGTTATGTTGACGGAAGTTAGCCTATTTTCAGGCGCTGTGTAATATCATTGCGCCTGCTGCACTCATGGTACGGCAGAAAAGTTCCTTGATTAATACGCCGGAATGAGAGTATAGTTCCTATCCATATCGGCCTAGAAAATCACAACTTTTTAGTTACACAACGTAACTACAGAAGAGTCAAGTTTTAAATAGGAAAAATAGGTCATTTCTGAGCGAGATGCTAACGGTCTAATCAGATTCAATGATGTATGCTAAGCTACAGCTAAAAGTGCTACCGCCAGACCCGGAGATCGGCTGAATGGATTCGAAAACGGTAAAACTCAACTGTTTAACTCTAGGGGAGTTGGAAAATGAGCCTATTTTAAAATAGTGGAGTGTTCCTTTAAAATGAATGACTACTAGTCGACCAGAAAAATCCTTAGTCGAGGGCAGCCCTAAAATTTTCAGTTGTCATTAGTATAGCGATGTATGAAGCACTGCTCACACAGAAGTCACTTTCAAACCAAGCCACTTTCTGTTGGTCAGTGCTGCAAAATCTGAGTAAAATCTGCATGTGGAACTTTTTCTCCCCTTGCGTGAAACTACCAAACACACAGATTCCTATTGAAATGAAGAATTTCACAGAGCAGCGGTAAATGTGATCGTACCTTAATTGATAAAAATCCTGCAATATTTTTACTTCTTGCTTCACCTGAAATGATCACATTATGGAATTATGTTTTACTAAAAATAACCAATGCAATTACATGTTGACTTGAAATACTCAATGACTTTTTTCTGAAGTTCAAACTTAGTGTGACATTTCAATAACATTCCTGAAGTTCATTATAGTTATGGCCCAACATTTTGTATTTCTCCAGGTAAATAAAGTCCTTCATAACCACAACATAAAGCCGCACTGGATGTTTGCCCTGGATAACATCATTCGAAAGGCTGTACAGACTGCCATCATCATATTAGTACCTGGTAAACAGCAACAGACTTTCTTTTTAAAACAATCCATTTTCTTGGCAGCTGTTCATTGAAGGCAGGGGATTTCTAACAGTTCCTGAAGCCCCCCAGCGCTGCACAGTTTGGATGTCCCCCTTATTTAACACAACTGAATTGACTATTCAGCTTATTGGTGATGTGCTCCTTGATCTGACCCGGTTGTGTCCAGTAAATGACAAAATGTGCAGCCCTGGGGAGGCTCCGGGAACAGTTCATCTGATGTGTTTGTTCACTCTCAGAATTGCGGCCACACTTCACGCTGGCGTCTGAGAGCGACCCCGCTGAGCAAGAGGACATTGATGACGACACAGTTCCTCAGGGGAACGCTGCCCTTAAGGATAGAGCGCCACCTTTCGCTCATCATGACGACACTGTGGCCACATCTGGAGTGAGCACGCTCAGTTCAACAGTTTCCCATGAGTCTCAGAGCGCTCAGCGATCGATTAGCATGGAGCTGGGTCGCATGAAGCTAGAAACCAAGAGGTAAGTGGTTTTGTTTTGCTGTATCTGCAGCTCTAATATATAGTGTTGAGTGCATTTGTACACATGCAAATGACAGACTCTGTAACAAATAATGAATGCCAGTCACCATATAAGACTCCTGACTGCGGTGTGGTGTTGGGGTTAGTTTTACTTTTTGCATATAATTAAAGTAAATGGTTAATGGGCCAGCCAAAAATGTAAGACCATAAAAACACCATAAAAACTCATTTGCATTATTGAAACACTATTTTCACTATTAGGGTGCTTTTTGACCGTTTGAATCCCCATTCACTTTCATTATATGGAAAGTTGTATATTTAACTACTCTGGGCAGTTTCTGTCATGATCTAAAGTTATAAACTTATGCATGACTGCGTTGGTTTGTGTGCTCTAGGTTGTTGGAGGAATTAATAGAGAAGGAGAGAGAGTATCAGGCCATCGTACAGCAAGTGCTGGAGGAGAGAGAACAGGAGATCAAACTACTGAGGTGTCGATCCGGGCCCGCAGGTGAGTCTAATACACACACACACACACACACACA